TTGAATTTATGGAAATTCAGATATTTTACTCACATAATGTTGCTAATATTCTTATTACATTATTATCATTTTTTTATAATTTTAAACATTAAAATCTCAAAAAATAAGTTTTCAAAATGAACTAATTTGTTTATTTTTTCACAAAATATTACACAAATTTCATTAAAAATATTTGTTATATAAAGTTCATAGTTTATATTAAAAAATTATGCCAAAGAGCTGTCAAAAGGTTCAATTATATACATGCAAAATTTCATTGTAGATTATTAAGACCATTTTATTTTTCTTGAAAGTGATTGTTAAAATTGATCATGTGACTTTAATCTCGATTTACTCAAAATCACAATATTGGCTGAGTCCTGGCTTTTGCTATTCAGATTCCTATATGTAGTTTGACCAATAGTAAATCTATATAATAAATTCTATAAGTATATAGAAATATTAAATTTAGTAAGCTGTTCAATAGGAATAAGTAACAATTTATATCTAAATGTCTTTAATGCTTTTCTATTCAAACTGGTTCAAATATAAATTTTGAAGTAGAATTTCTATATCTAGATTTTCAACAATTGGAGTCCTTAAAATTCTTTAAAATTTCTTTTATCATTTTCTTTTATTTTCAAAGATGAGATTTCTTAGATAAGGTTTAGATCTAATGTTTAAATATAATTTGTATTTTTTTTATTTCCTTTTAAAGTATAGTCATTATATTCATTATCATAATATTGATTAACTAAATATACATCTCTAAAATTCTTATAACGAGATCTTTTATCATCTCTTTTTTGTTGCTGAAGTTGAAAACAATTTCTGTGATATATAATACTTATTACAATTATAACAGATAATAGGAGATATATTTTGTCTAGATCTTTTGGTAGCATTATTATAATTTCATTCTATTCATTTTCTTTGAAATTATTGAGATTATATTAATAAAGTAATTGTTAAATTAATATAGTTAATATTTAAATAATCTAATTTCTTTATGAATTTATCTATTTCAACATTAGTAATAACATTTTTAGAAGTAGATATAGTAGTAATACTGATATCCTTAGGGGCTTTTCTAGTTGCAAAATTGTATTGCAGCATATAAATTAGCTACATTTTGAGAATAATTCAAGAAAGTGTAGAAAAATTAAGAACTATGAAAAATATTCTTTTCTTTTATATATTATAGCTAATTCTTTATAAATGCATCTTTTTATTTAGTTCTAACTTGAATATTAGTGTTAAATACATGTTTTTTTTATATATATACTCTTTGTAAATATACTCTTTATAAAAAAATTTTATATAGTTTACTTATAAATTTTTTGTATTACCTTAATTTTAGGTTAGAATTAAATAGATTTATATATTTTTTATAAATGCACATTCTCTTTAAATGCATCCTTATACTTAGTTCCAAAGGGTAGTACTTTAATAGAGAATTTACTGTAGTAGTTAAACACACATGAATTACTAATTTCCTAAATTTATTAGTATATAAACCTATAGATTCATATATTTATTATCTCAAAGTAATTAATTCTTGATATCACTGATTTGTAATCATATTAAGTGAAGTATACTTTTTTTCTTAATTTAAATTAAATTAAAAATTTTACTTAATGTTAAATATTATAGAGCATAGATCCTTTATTAATAAATCAAAATTTTTTAGTATTATTTAAATTAACAATTATTATAAAATATTTAATTACAGAAATAAGTTACTTTAATTAAACTTATATATTTTATCTATTAAACTAATAAAAAGCAGAAAGAAATAAATAAAAATAATTTGCAAAGGTTGGTAAATTCTAAGAAACGAGAAATAAAGCCTGTTTTAGTCTATAGAAAAAGTGCAGCTAGAGCATTGTGAAGGTGAGGTAACTTCCATTAAGACTTGGTGACTTACCTAGTATTTTATTTGTCTGTAAGGGAATATGCAGTACATAGCTAATTCCCATTCCAGAAAAAGCAGTTCCTTATATTTTGCCAACTTGGTAGCTTAGCAAATAATCAGTACCTTCAGTTATTACTTCTTCTGTCCGTTATTTGGTTATACAGAAGAAAGAAAAAAATAATAATAAAATTAATGAAAACGAATATTTATCACGTCCTATTAAGATCATTCGTTACTTTAAACAGTTTTTTTTTTTTTTTTTTTTTTTATATATATATATATTTTTTCTTATTTAATTTTATAAGGTAAATTTAAATATTAATTACTTTTTTTTAAAAAATGTTTTTATATAATTTTAATATGAAAATAATTTTACTTTGATATTAAATTTTATAAAATAAACAATTTTTGATTTAAAATAAGTAATTTTTATCCCTTAAATGAATGGTATTGCAAGCAAATTTGCCTACAATTTTATTTAATATTAAACATTTTCAATTATTTAAATAGTTTAAAATAAATTATTAAAAAATTAATATTTTTATAGATGAGGGACGAAACTCTTAAATGAATCTATATTAAAATCATAAGGAATATGACGAAACCCTTCCGATACGACGAAAGCTGATCCAAAACATAGTAAAGAATACGTCTAAACTATTTTGAAAAAGTTCGGCAAGCATCTAAATAAATTTTATGATTTTAAGTAAAAATAAAAAAATATGTAATTAACTAGTGATTTTTTTTTTTTTTTGATATATAATAAATTACTAAAGAAATAATTAAAATTTTAAACTTATATATCTTACTATCTTATCTATCAATTACAGAAATATAAAAATACTATCATTTAATAAGTTTTAATAAGATGCAGTCAACAGAATAAATTTTATTTGTAAATTGACGAATGTAAAAATGTGATCGATCAAAATTAATAGATACTTCCTACTTTCTTTTTGTTTTTATTTTTATACGTTGTTACATTTTGGGATAAAATTCTGACATTAGCGGTTCGGAATCATTTGTTAAAAAAGTTATTTGGTTTATTATCCACGTGATTGTGAAACTGTATTCCTTTTTAAGTTAGTAAAAATAATGAATTTTCATTTGTTAAAAATAGACAAGTAATGAAACATTGGATTTATGAAAAATCTCTTGGCTTTTGTTTGATGCATACTTGAATCATGCAAAATTATTGTAAAGTAATTTAAAAATGAAATGACCATACGAAACCATAACAAAATGCATGGCATAGCATGAAGGTTAGAAAATTTAACAATCTGCAAAAGTTTGCACTCGTTAAATTATTTTCCATTTTTAGTGATGAAGGAAAAAAAGTCATTGCAAAAAGTTAAAAGATTCGTTTTTAATGATCTATTCATTATATTAGTAAGTTTATATGGGAGGTCTCGCGGGATGTGACGAACACGTGATTTCGAAAAAGATTTTACGTGATCATAATTTGCTAGTAAAAGTTACCTACGGGTCATATCATTCAATTACAAACGACCCGTAAGTTAAATGCCGAGTGGTTTATACTACCAGAATTTTTTATTATATTTTAATTGAGTTACTTTTTATAATACTGATATTGGGCCATTTCCCATGCCATTTTCCCAAAAGCAAAATTTTACTAAGATTTATATATATTTAATGCTATTTTAATATCGGGATAATGTTCTATTCGGGAAAGTTATTCGGGAAAATAGCATTGGAAATCGTACTGTAACCGTAAATCGGTCCTCAGAATTAGGACCGAAGATCATAAGCCAAAGAATCGTCCCATTAACCTTTCTAAAACTGGTTTAGTAGCATTACAAAAGTTGAATCCCGGGTTTTTATTTTCGAAGTATTTTTAATATATAGTTCCGACTTTCACTATTTCGTGATTTATAATAGATTCGACTATTATATTCGATGAACTGTCGAAACCTAAAAATATTTTCCCACAACCTTAATTTTCTATTATATTAATCTATAACTCCATCCTAATATTTGTAATTAAAATAAAATGGACATTAATTAGAACGTTTATGATAATCGTTAATAAATTTATGTTATTATTAATGAACTTTAATAAGATATTTGAAAATCTTCATATGTTTTCTGGTAAAGCAAACAGTATTATAACGCATTAATATGAGATGCTTTAAAGATAGTACAGTTGATCATAAGACTAAAATTATTTATAAAGTATAATTAAATAACAGCCGCATGATAAATATTTTCAATAAAATAATTTTCAAAATGAACTTTTCATAACAAAAATAGTAAAAAGGTTAGTAGCAAAAAAGTTACTAAAGAAATTAACATAAAAGTAGATAAATTATTATTTATTATTGTAGGTATGGAAGATAAAATAAAAATGTTTGAATTTTTTATAAAAAACATGAAAAAATAAGGTTTAAATAACCTTAATGCATGCCCAAACTTTCTATTGAACCTTTTGTATAAATTTCATTATTTTTATCTGGATAGATTAGAAAATATTCTATTTTTTTTTTTTTTGATTGGTCAAATACTTACTGTACATTATAAATAAAGTAACTTTCTATTGTGATGCAGTTGGACAAATATTGATTTGTGAGCATAAAATTCTCATAAAGTTGTATTTTCTAATAGAGGGTAGACCGCAACTGTGTATGTCACGTGATATATACTTTAAAAATATTTATTTATACATGGGTTTAGGATAATAACCTAAACCCGGGGTCCAGGTTAAATTTGCCCTTCTAATATTTACTATCTACACGTGCTTAAAATACGTTGTGCTTATATGATAATTTCGAATTTCTCATTGGTTTCGGAAATATTTCACTTAAATAGTTTAAATAGTTTATTGTCAAGGAGTATATAAATTATAATTTTTCATAGTTAAAAGAGTACAAGAATTTACATAAAATTTATGCGAATTATGTTAATTTTTCTTAAGATAAATTTTGGTTTCGTTATATTACATCTCTAAAGTTTAACTTAAATTTTGACCGACAAAATAAAATAAAATTTTAGACTTAATTTGATATCAAATAATCATAATAAATAAATTTTGAACTTATTTAAAGAATCAAGTAAAGGAAATAAAAAAAAATGAGAACAAGAAATGAAATTACTTTTTAATCACACTAAAGACCTCAATCTCTTCAATTGGCAAACTGATTTCTACGTTAGTAAATATATTATCATAATGTCCAGGATTACCAAGGAAAAGGTCTTGTTCTTTAACAAACAAATGACTTCCAAAATTAAAAAATGCATTGCAATGCTCATATACAGCTTTCTTCGCAAAAATGACCCTTCCAATTTCCATGTTCTGTATATCTTGATCATTCTCAAAAGAAAAGATAAAACTCGCTGATGACGTGACCCATTGACACCTTCCGTCGTAACCGATTGGATTATAACCACCATAGATCTTATTTGATCGAACTTTTATCAATATTACAAATGGACCTTGTCCTTTTAATTTATTATTGAATGTCGTGTAATCAAAACCATCTCGACTTTTCAGGTAAATTAAATTAAACTTGTATTTATTATTGGATGAAAGTACGGCAGAATCATTTTTGTCAATCCAATTTGATATGACGTTTACAAGTTTTGGTTTGATTATCGTTGATCCCAATTTACCCAGACGAGGTCGCGAAGTTATTTTCTTTGGTAAGATCTTTTTATAATGGAATTCAATGATCTCCTCATAAATTTGACTGGGAATAACATCTTTATAAGGACGAACTTTATCATAAAATTCAACTGGGGAAATTTCCATAAACCGAATGAAGGGGACGAGTTCATTTAACGTTTTCTCCAATGCTTTAAAATCATTTTGATTCCATCCAGCTCTATCGCTCTCCAATTCAGGGATCTGTTTAATACCCCATTGGATCAAACAGTCCCAGGCATCAATTTCTTCCACCTGCAAATCATCTCTTTTAAGCAAGCCAAGAAGTACGACTTTATCAAGTGATAGGAAATGATTCGAAGCGATAAATGGCTGTGGATTTGCACAGATTGATTCCAAGCAATAATCTTGCAATTCCTCGCAATCAGCAAGCTTGAACACGGTTTGAAGGACGAGAACAAAATTTTGTTGAACCCAGCTAATTTGATTTTCAAGCAAGTGAACTTGTACAAATTTATATAATTCTTCAAGCAGCAATTCATCAGATGCAATTAATAATGCGAGTACATCTTCGCCACTTTGCTTGGACAAATTGATTTCACCTGTATACATATATCTTCAAAAAGATTTCAAATTAATTTTAAATTATAATTGAATAAATGATGAGATTGAAATATAATTTCAAAATTACCTTAAAATCATGTCAAAAACGATTGGGGTAATGTTGGGTTTGTTAAATATGATCATATTATCTTTTTTTGTAATCCAGTCAGCCGAAAAGGCGCTCTTAAAATATGGTGATCGCGCGCGTAAAATGACTGAATGTGCTCGAAATTCTCTTGCACTGTTGCCTTCACCGACATTAATGATAACGTTAAAATCATCAGCATCGTTTAATATTTGAAAAAGGTCTTTTGAGAGGCTAGAATGGAATGTTGCAAACATGATGGAAAAATAAAAAAGTTTATGTCAATGAAAATTTTTTGAATGAGCAAGAAATAGGAAATGTAATATGTAAATCAATGTATGCAATTGATTATTTAATGCTTGGATATTCAGGAGGCTATTGCACAAAGAATTTCCATAACATAAGTAATTACCAAATCAAATCAATATAACTTCTATATCGGTTTGTAATTTATACAATACAAGAGAATAGTATTTATATTGGACACGTGACGTTTGACGAATATTCGGAAAGGATGTTCGGAAAACGTCCGTAATTTCCGGAACGTGCATAAAGAAAATGCACTTAAAATTGCAAAAATTCTGTTCGATTTCGGATTTCAAGACCATTCCTTTATTTTTTTTTAAAAAAAAATGAATTTCAAACTCGGCAATTTTTTTTAAAAAAAAATTTTATTTATCAAATATAATGTGTAACGATGTGTAACGGTGTGTTATCTTTTCGCATTTAGCATTTTTTCAAGGAGAATCATTTTTGTTTCAGGTAGATATCAGTAACGATAATACACTTTTACAAAAAAAAAAAAGACTGCGCCACTCTCGTTCCAAAAAAAAATTTCGTTCAGAAGCAATATAAATCAAACTTTACGTCGTTTAATAACTAATAAAAATTTTAGTTTCTAACTTGACTTTTATTATATCACTAAGCTGAATAAAATTTGGTATAAATTTTAAAATATTGATATACTTTTTTTTTTTTAAAAAAAAAATAAAATAAAATAAAGTGATATATTTCAATAAACATTTTAAAATAAATGTTTAATTCGTGAATTTTGTTTCAAATTCTCTATAAATAAAGCATTCCTTACCTTTTTACTAAATCATTATTGTGAAGATGAAATTAAAGATGATAATAAAATCTGTCAATTTTGTTTCTTTACTTATAGCATCCATAAAATTTTATTATTATTATTATTAATACAATGGCCCTTGCTTTTTACACTTTTCTTAATATGAACGGTCAAAATCATCCTAACATTTGATTAAATTGGAGTCAATCAAAACCTATGAAAATTTTCGTGTAACCGCACGGTCCATTCTACAAATTTACCAGTTTTAATTTGATTTATTCATTTTTAAGAAATCTATAATCAATTAGTCATTTTCCATATAAATCAGAAAAATAAATAAACAAAATTTGTGGCACGATTTCATTCTTAAATTTATGATTTCTGCATGATTTAAGCTTAAAAGGTCAACGTTCCTATTATGTGCACAACTAAACTGCATGAGAATTTTCGTAGGGGCTATTGGCTGCAAGAATTGAGTTGTGTTATTGCTAATTTTCCTGTGTGAAACGGTCAAATCTGTAATATTAATTATAATAAAACAACTGCCTTAATAGGATGCTAACAATCGAATATGTGAATGGATTGTTTTAACGTCTCTTTTAATGCAATAAAATTATCCTGATCCTGTTTAGCTATTCCAGAAGGTTACACGACCCATTTGATCAGGCACCAATTTCTTTTATGCAAATTAACATCTATTTTACTTATTATTTCTATGAGGAAGAGGACGTCTTATAATATACAAAATTATTAACAGGTTACGAAACAGCAATTGATTGTGACTCAACATAAATGTTTATTGATTTAAAAAAAAAAAATCCTTTTATAAATATTTTCAATTCAATTAAATAGTAAATATATCTTATTTGGAAATTAGTTTCATAAATCCGATTATGTATCCCTGTTCGAGTTTTTTTTTTTTTCTTTTAAAAAAAAAAGAATATTCGATTCTCGGGTTTCCTATACCGATAAAAAATTTGGAAAGAACATTTACAGACCTTCTTTTAGTGTCGTTTATTTGTCTACCTAGAAACTTGATGATTAATTGTCATTTTATCCTCGTTCTTTTAGTGACAGATATATTTCTCTGGACGGTAGTAAGTTCTTTAGAATTGGTAAATCAGGAGACTAGTGCTCCGACTCGAGAAGTAATTCGAGTCGGGTTATTTTTATGACACGAGTCCTAAATTAATAAAACCCGTCGGGTCAGGTCGCGGTTTTGCTTGACCCGGGTAACCCCTGGTGACCTGATTTTAACGTTACGCGACTTCGTAGAATTATAATCTATAGTACTTGATCCGCAGATAAATCTTGGTTTATGAAGATTAAATATGGGAAAAAAGCTTTATTCGATATGCTAAAAGTAAAAGTTCTTAATATTTATAATGCCAACGCTATTACTGATATAGAAGTATAAATTTTAATGATGAATATGATCAAGTTTTTGTAAAACGTAAAAAAATATTTTTAATGATTGAATTCCAAAATTTAATTAAGCTTTGTTCTCGGTACTATTGATTATTTTAATTCAATTTCTGACTAAGCACACATAATTGCGATAAATATGAAATAAAAATTGTGGTTAATATTTTATAGATGAAAACAATATGAAAAGGAATACTTCAATATAAATAAATTATGAAGAATAAATAAATATATATATACAAATTTATCAAATTATCATCTTTTAATTATGATTTTCTTTTTTTATGCCAAATTTTTCATTTTATAATAACCGCTTTTCAAGTTTAAAGCATTATTTTCATGTTTTCTCTAATTAACATCTCAATATCTCTTTGATGTCTCAATTTCTTCCTCACATCTTCAAGAACCTTGTTTAGCAGATTAGTTAGCAGTGTACCATTTCGATAATTTGTCTTAAAATGAACCAAATGAAAAATTATGATCAATGCGATATTTTATAGCACAATTTTTACTCTTTTTTTTAAAAAATATAGTAGTATATTTTATTTTTATAACACCCCATAATACTTAAAACTGTAATTCTGATTGTTTAAGTTGTCGATTAAATAAAATCTTTGATTATATATTTTTTTTATAAAATTAGATTCTGGTCATGGCCGGCCTTAATATTTAAAGTAACACATGTATTTTATTTAATTTTTATAAATATCATTATTAATTTTGCTGGTATATATATTGTATATACGTAAATATTATGATGTTTTATTAAATATGAAGTGGTTGCAATGCTTTTTGTTTTAGACGAGTCTTTAATTACATCTGGGATCTACTATTTTTATCTAAATTCTTTTTTTTTATAATAGCTTATCAAAAACACAGATTGTTAGATTCCGTGGTAATAATAATGCTTAAATATGTATCAAGGAATATATCAAGCGTTAATGATTTTGATATATATCCTTATAATCTGAAATTTGTCCTGCTCTTGGTTGGATTGATATTAGCTCATAAATGGCTCAAAGATTCTACATATTCAAACAAACCATAGACCGAAATGTCGAGTTTATCAATTAGAGTTATTAGGAAATATGGAATGAGATTCTCTGTCTATTTTAGATAATTCAATTTAATCAGCGAGCAGAAAGATAATAATTGGCTTATATCTCTGTTCGATTTTCAAAATTTAGAATTGAATACAATTAATATTCTTGATTTACGTCCTTATTAAGAAAAGAATAATTATTCTTGGCCTAAAGTGAACTTTCAATCAATTATGAGAGCCATGAACAGAGTATAATTGATTTGATCACAGATGATATAAAAGTTTATTTAATGAAAATTCTCCTTTCACCTGTCTATTAACATAGAAAGATAATTCTATACCTTCGACAACATTAAAAGACTTTCATAATACTTTTGACTGATTTACTCTTTGGTAATTTACATCCTAATAGTGTTTTGTAAAGATCATGTCTGATCAGGTTTAAAAAATACTCAAAGAACTTGAATTTGACTTAACCTGATCATTGTTCAACTTGGATTTGACTCAACCAGATTATTGTTTAACCAAGACTCGATTTGAAATCTTAAGGATTGCTTTATGCTAGCTTAATGGATAGTGGTATAATATATAGAAAAAAATTTAAATCATATCATGATTAGTGCTGCCTACAAATTATTACATTTATTTTATTACTTTTTAAATTTATTTATTTTTAATATTTTTTTTAATAAATAAATGAACAAAAAAAAATAATTTTTTATTTCAGGCTTTTTAAAATAATTTTAAAATTTTGATGGATTTTGAGTTAACCACATTAGTTTTATTTTAATTTCATCTTATCAAAATAATTTATATAATATTTTTAAATATTTTAAAAAAATTTCTTTTATATATAATTTAATTAATAAAAGTATAAAATAATTTTGGAGTAACATAAAAATAAAACAATGAAAGCATTTATT